GGATTGTCATATTTTGTCATTTGGATGCAAGTCAGAAGAAATGTACCTAAACAAACACCTAGCTCGAAGCTAGTGACTGCAGTCTTGAAGGCCGACCCACACCTAGTAGCATGAGCTACTACATTCTGGTAGTGAACCTTGGGGCTCAGTGGCTTAATAGACTTTATCTAGCTAAGCGTTGAGGATTGAATGCGGTTTTTCCCTTCTCTGTATAATAGGAATATGAATAACACTTCAAGGGTGCTCACCTCTAGGAATCGTTGAAAAGGTGGGTAAAGTAGAAGGAGGAATAGGGGACTAATCAGTCTGTGGAATGTCAAGAAAACTGTAGGTCTAATATTGAACGTTGAAGAAGGAAGTTGTTGGAAAAATTGGATGTTTGACTTTACTGCGGAATTGCCAATTTACTACAACAGGGGGCTTTCATCACATTGTCGAAAGCATCATAGTGTCGCTACACAGCTCTGCTGGAAAGCAAGCAGTCTGTGGGTTGCAGGTTTTGCAGCACACTGGAACCTTCCAATTCGGCATTATCATGGAACAGGCAATTCATGGGCACCCTGACCACAACTCGGAAAAGTAAGCTTTTTTGGGCTATTTGAAGACATCGATAATCCGAATGATGATATTCAGATATGGTGAATTTGGAGGACTCAATTCATTCACAGATCCTGTCGAAGCTGTTAGCTCCATAATTTCTTCTGGTGTTGCGATCACATCACCTATTCTTACGTTCTATTTCAAACGTCGCATATTGAAAGCGCTCAACTGTGCACAGCAGCGATATACGGAGAAAACTGCGCAGAGTTCGAAAATGTTTTTGAAGGTAAGCCCTTCCGGCATTCCATGCATTATCAACTGGTGCGATTATGCGCATGGTCAGGTAATGTGTAGCACGCAATGTACAGGGTGGCTGGAAGGTAAAGGACACGTCTTTGAGCGTTTTTTGTTACCAAACAGTGGAGAATGGTCGCAAAATTTTAAAAATCTTCTCAAGCCTTCTACTCGTTATCGAGGAATGGTCTGAGGACGGTCTTCAGAGCTGCGGCTTCGCAGAACGACTCGGTATTCCTTCTTCTAGTAATCAAAACAGCTTCGCTGCTCTAGGGGCTTAAGTACACATCTGCCAGGGCCTGGCAAAATTGGTAGGCCGAAAACTGTGCACACCAAGAGCACCACAGCAGCTAGGGCAACCACCTAGAAGAAATCATCACTCGCAACGGTGGAGCCAGGGGAAGTCGCATGATTACTGATATCAGGATCTGCCATCAGTTCCTCCAAAAGATCTTGCTGAACGAACCTAGTCCAGAGAGTGACCGACTCTATCTGTGCAAGTTTTCTTGGAGCAGTCCGACTAGAGAATGCCCTAAAATACAAAGAGCCTCTGCGCGAGCTTATGTTGGCTGCCTTCCTCATGATTTGTATATACGGGAGAATTTTCGAACTAAGCTCCTTCGCGGCCGTCAAATAAAGATTCAGTGGGTGTTTAAAAAAATGAGTTATTCCTCAAGATGGCGTTCGGTTTATAAGAGACTCCATTCCAGAAAAGTGATATTTCGGGCCTGGGTAGCATTCGAAAACGGGAATCCATTGCGTTCCTTTAGAAAACGTGGAAACTACTGGGAGATCCAATGAAAGGCGATGATCGCGTAAATCATATCGTTCTTGATTTCTACACATTCTGCTCACTAACCGTACCTGCAAATGAGATTGTCCTTATTAGTTCAAAGCAAATTTGAGGACTTCTACTGCATTTTAGTTGGTCCGAATCCGGCACTTCAGAAAATGAGGAACGAAGTTGCCGTCGACTGCTTACGACGCAGTGCTGATTTCATCGTTGGACGTCAAAATGCACCCGTCAGAGCAAAATAGTCAAGCTCGGATCCCTTTTGTCCTCAGTGACCATAGAGCTTAATTCTATCTTTTTGTAATGTTGCTTTATTATTCAAGTACCCATTCTCGAAGTTTCCACTTTGAAAACATGAACATGCTTCTTCTTTCAGGGACCCCGGCTCACAGAAACTTTTTCTCTTCCTTTGCTCACTGGAAGTTGTCATCTGTGGTGGACGGGCACGCCGCGCCAATTGTATTCAAGGTCTGATAAATGAGTTTTGAAACAAAAAAATGGGACGGTCACGTGTAAGGCGACGCATTGAGAAATTGAACACAAACACTCTCGAATTCGGAGACTAAGGACAAAATGGTGATGTACTAGGCTGCCATAAAGCGATAAATTTTTTGACATCTAGGGCTTTAAAGATTCCATTGTGACACACGAAGAGCCCAGTGAAAATATTTCCGCCGCCAAATTTTGTAATAGTTGTAAGGAGAAATTTGACCCAGTGATTTCGTGGTTTTTAAAGGCACGAGTCGGGATTGAATTGATGCGTTATTTTGTTCAAACATTAGGCAAGGGGTGCAATGAGGAACATTAGTGAGGAGAAAAAGCAAAAAGCACCATAGAAAACACTAAATTTCCCTTAGGAGGCCGGCCGTAGTACGACGGAGAGACACAGCGCTGCGAGGAGAGGGAGAACGCGAGATAGTACGTCATACGCAGAGACCACGTATGCCGTGGTGGATTACGCTGGCAGCGCGGGCAGCGCGGCGGGCAAGGCCTTAGCGCCATTGCCGCGCACTTTTGGGTCGATAGTGTCGCGCCCTCAGTGCTTGGGGAGCCCACTATCGCACCCTGGGAAGAACTTCTCTTGGTTGCCTAATCCTGACTCGTGGCTTTAAATTGTTCACATAGCTAACGCAGTTTTCCCACTAGTTGTGTTCTCACTGTTGAGGATGGCTCTCAAAATATCGCTCTGGATAGAGAATTATACTATGCCCATGCACAGTTTGTTCAAGGCTTCGGTGATTGAGGTGAGGCAGAGTTTCGCAGGATTAGACAAGTTGTGACCACACCGACTTCAACGCGAAATTGATAACATCAGGCAAGGTTCGAAGTCGCAGCGGTCCAACGATAAGCGATAGCCCATTACCTCAGATCATTCAGTCGTCAACATGCGTCTGCCACCGATACAACCAGGGTCAAGCGAGGCGTCGAGGAAAATTTGGAAATACGACCCCCCCCCCTCCCTCTGCCGAAGGCCGAAGTCCATGAAACAACCCTCTTCAAAAGCCGAACTATGAAAAGGTTGTTTAATTCTCCCCAAAACTGCTCATAAAAAAGCCCTGCTACCCCACCGTCCACAAAAAAAATCGTTTAAGAAGTACAAAAGTGAAAAAGTCAAAGAATGATCATTATTGATGAGTCCTACCAAACGAGCAAACGAGAAACGGAGCAAAAAACGACAAACTAGTCACTAAAAATGGCATACTATGACAACATCTCTTCTTTATTTATTTCCTCCACAAGACTTACCAAATTCTAGTACTACACAGATTATGGTTCTCAATTTACACGTCCCCCTTTCGCTCAAAGGAAGCCTTGTAAAAGCCTTCGCCAGCTGTGTGTTGACTGGACTTTGGCGTTGACCGTGGAGCAGCTTATTTACTATTGAAATTTGAACAAATATTCAAATGATTATAACTTTCTTCAAAGTTAACGAATTTTCAATCTGAAAGCTGATTTGGGAGTTTTGTGAAGAGCTTTTCTAATCAGTACTGAAATTACAGGAAGTTATAAGAAATAACAAATTTAGATCAAATAACGAGGAAAATTCGAGACGAGCACGAGTTTTTACACTTTCCGGAGCAATAACTTGCTTCATTTCCGTCAAATTCAAAAAGTTGATACGTCATACAAAACTAGAAGATTTTCTCTATCAAACGGTCGCTAAAGCAGCTTCATACGTCCAGTACTCAAAAAATGGCCACGTTGAGGATTTTTGCAAAATTAACGAGGAAAATTCGTGATGAGTGCGAGTTTTTACGCTTTCCAAAGCCATAACTCCGTTCAAACTCATGCAATCTGGAAAGTTAATACGTCATCATGAACTAGAGAAGATTGCTTCTTTACTACACGGCCACACTAACCAACTGCTAAATCACGTTCCACTATTTACAAATGGCCACCGTCTGAGACTTTTTGCCCAAGTACCTGCCCGCCATCACTTTTCTCCGATACCACTTCCACATCACTCTTGCAGAGGCGATAATACTGACAGTACGAACCCAGCATCCCCCTACGACCTCTCGCCTCCTCCTTCTGCCCACAAAAACCTGTCAAATCCTGCTCTAGCCGCGCTCACACTCTCTCCAAACGCTTACCACGCTCCGCCACTCGCCACGCCCGACCACACCCCCGCAGCTTCTCTCTTGTGAAAATAGCTGTTACTGCCTCTGCTATCCATTTACAGCCCATGACACTCTTCACAAACCTCCTGCTGATCTCCCTCCTGCCAACTTACAACCCCCTCTACTCTCACACGAGCGCCGCTACGTTGACCACGCACCCGCGCATACCCAACTCCGTCGCCCACTTCTCGCCGCGTACGCCGCCTTGTGCTTCACCCACTCTCCGCTTGCGATCTCTGAGACCTTACTTGAAGATAAAATAGCCCAGAGAAACGTTCTCGTGGCGCGATATTTTCGGATGCCACTTTTTACTGTGTGGTATGAAACCTACAAGCCACTAGGCAATGGCTTAAAGCGACACCCTATCAATCCACAGGAAGAATTCTTTTGGTGGACCGGAAAATCAATTGCGGTGTATGTCAGGACTAAATCACTCGTGCGCCTGGTATCGAATTCGCAATCCTTCCAAATGCTGTCCTCCGGACCGACATGATCTACTGTAGTCATCGGGCCCGATGTGCTCTGCACCGGAGCGAGCCAAATCACGACCCCCCCGCCCGCGTCGTGGTGACATGTCGAGGAGATTATCCCGTCAACAGCAACGCAGCGTGATCTCCTCGCGCCCGGCTGGAGCCGCACTTCGCAGCAGATAATATCATCATCACCTACTGGCGAGTACGCACTCAGCGCGATCGGATTTGATACCACTCACTCTCCAATTTATGAAAGAAAGCTGGGTTCATACCTAATTGTTTTGTAACGAATAACATTGTATCGTAACGCTTCACACTCACAACTCTACCCTAGATCTCACTGCATTTGAACGCGAGGGTTCAAAAACGGCAGGCTCACTTCACTCCTCACTCTCACTCACCCCACTACACTCGCTCTGGACATTTTTCACTCCCCAACTGCCGTGAAATTTTCCAGTAAATACCGCAAGTTCACGCACAACATGCAACTGGCACCCCAGCGGAGCTACTCTGAAGCTGCGCCGCATAGCGCACCGTTGCACTCGAAGCCAGCCGCGCCAGACGCGCGCTATCGACTTCTGGCCACAACGCTACCACAGGCTGCACCACGCTTGTGGTCGCCTTCCCTCACTGGTGACCCTTCCATCACACGCAAATCAGCCCAGCCCCCAAAACCATGCCTCCGACACCTGAATAAATTGAGGCACTAACGCGGCGCCTGCGCGCACACAAATTCCCACGGCAACATGTGCGCTCTGCAACCTTTCCCCTTTCCGACAACCCCGCTCAAGTTTTATCATTACTATATTCATCAACTTCAAAACATTCCTAGAAAGCCATTCCTTATCTGACCATGAACCTGAATCACAGCCACCGCGAATAAGATCAAAAAGCCACTACTTACTCGCGTAACAGTGAAGTACTCGTTGTCGTTAACCCTGGTCCCAGCGTCTCAGCGAGGCACAGCTGATCCATCATGCAACTTCTTTTTTTTTCTTCGACCAAGAATGTGTAAATATGTAAACAGTATAAGACTGCTGAGGGCGCGGAAGTGGTGTAGTGACAAGTGGCGCGCTTACCACGCGAGCGGTCCGGGATCAAAATCCTGGGTCGTGAGTCGCCCGGGCCAACCAAGCCTTCCATCCCTCCGGGGTCGGTTAATTGGTACCAGACTTGTCTGGGAGGATAAAAAACACTGACTTGAACATCGGCTGGCCCCCGCAAGTCATTGTATAGGCCACATCGCATTCAAATGCCACTGCGAATGTACAAATGGAAGTAGAATGCGTGCCGCATCCCAAAAAGGGATTGATCAACGGCAAATGCTTTATCCTTTATCCTTTTATAGATTGAGGCAATTTGTCATAGAACTTGCTAACCAATTAAAGGAGGATTTACGATTAGAATGGAGGTCGAGGAAGAAGTAATTTACCTAGTTGAGTAACCCACGGACCTCCTGAGGGTGCGAACTGATGCGCAATTCGCATCGAAAAATTTGACCTCGGCGACCTATTATGCCTCAAAGTTGGCGGGTCTGGCGATCTCCGCCCACCGACCAGCTGATCACTCGCCGCAGATCTATACGTGGGATTGATTAGATAGCAGAGAGAGCGTGATGTTGAGGAGGGCACAGCGATAAGAGTCGCATCAATGCGCAAATCAGCGGGGAAGGAAGGGGTCCCATTTCTCGGGTTCTGGGCCGTTTCTCATGGTTCTTCCTTCTTTCGTGTACCAATCGGGTTCTGGGCCGTTTTTCATGGCTCTTCCTTCTTTCGCGTACCAATCACCATCCCTAAGTTAATTTGAAATGAGTTGTCCTTTCCCAGCGGAATCGACCCCGGCGCGAAATGAATTCGACCTTTAAGGCACTTATTAGGTCAAGACAGCCGGGGTCCCACAGCTGCGGTCGTGAAAATACGGCGGACAAGTAAAGGTCTGAATATCGTTCTGTTGAGATACCCCTGAGCGATACGAGCTACATACGTGGGGTCTGACATTGACACAGATGATGATGTCGTTCTTGTGAGTATGTTTACTATTTAATTGTCAATGTGATCTCTAAGAAGCGAGCAATACATTTGAATAATGACGGAACGTCATAAAAAATGTAAACCCACGTGACTTCTCATAATCCATTTCGGGCAGTTCCTCATTGATTCTCACTCAGGGCGGACGTGTGACTTTGGGGTCAGCGTACAATCCCACCCAAATTTCGATTATGGTCTGCGTCCAGCTAGTTCTATATGACGTTATTGGCACAAACGGTTATTGCTACAGATACTGGCTCGATTCCATACTTGTGTACCAGTAAGTAAATGGGTATCCAATTCTGGATCATCCCCAATTTTTGGGCACATTTCGGCTAACGACTACAGCAGGACTGCAAGTCTTGCGAGCAAATACGGCAAAGATCCAAGATGTGTGCTTCGTCATTCGACATCTGATTTCACTTTTTGGGAAGGATGGACATCATAAACGCTTGCTCAACCACAACTCGCACCCGTTTTTTCTTCTTAGGCTCTCCCACCAGATCTCCAGCATCGCCTCCGAGACGCTGAGTCACGTGTAAATGTAGCCAGCTTACAAAAATTTGAACTGTGAGCTTTCTGCATATGATGCTTTTTTTATAAACTCACCTTGAGGAGTTTTGAAATATTAGTTGATTACTCCCGCTGCTATACAAATTCAGTTGGAGATGCCGTAGGTAGATGGTTAGCTTTGAACAAACAAAGCTGAGGGCTCCAGCTCTTTTAGTTTTCTCATCATTTCTCTAGCTGTCTCCACATGTGTTGAATGAGATGACCCATACATGCATCTGGCCAGGCGATAGTAAGAACACTGAGAGATACCACTGGTTATTCCAGCACGATTCGCCGCCTGCACACAAAGCGGAAACTGCACAAGCAGCAGAACTTAATTCAGCAGGGTGAAACTCCAGTTCGGGGGGGGCCACTCCATTTTTTCTCCAATACTCAAGATAAGGATTAGAGGGCTCACGACACGTAATCGACTCATTTAAAGTAGACTTCTGATAAATATTGGTGTAATGGGTGAGAAACCCTGAAACGTTTTCACATTTCCGCCTGCCATGACCCAAGGGAACGGTCCTGGACCAGGAGAAAGGACACCTCCGCAAAAGG